AAATCATGTGTAAGGCCACTGAGACAGCATGCTGTTGTTGCACATAAAATATTAATGTTTAGAACAGTGCAAAATACAAACACCATTAGAAACTCATAGTTCAGCATCACACACCGTGATATGGGTTAAAATGAGAGCGCATTTCTCTCCAAAACGGTGCCAGTTTGAGCGTTTTGCAATAAAGAAATAAAATTAACTAAACTTGATCATTTATGTTACACTTTTAACATAAATGCACATTGTTCCAGAAGGATGGCAAATTCATGCCATACCTTTTACACATTTACTCGAATTGTTATGCTGATAATACAATTTGTAAGGAAAAATGCATTAAACAGCGAAGTATTTCTGGGGAAACTTTTTCAAAGGAAAATGTATTACATCACGCGCTGGCACAGATGCAGTATATTAACGCCACGCGGGTCATCAATAAGGTGCAGATTTGGTCCTCAATTTGTTTCCAACACACTTTTTCACAGCGCGCATCACTCAAACTCATCAAAAGTCAACAAGTGCAACAAGCAACAACGACTTACCCAAGTGACTGCTGCAGAACGCACGCGAGAGAGAGAGAGAGAGGCAGCGCAGCTCGCGCGTCTCATAAGTGAGAGGGGAATTTACTGAACGTGGCACTTGCAGGAGTTAACACTGTATGCAATACCCGCAACCTCTCACCAAATTCCAGGCCGTGTAGATAGCAAGCATAGCCTATATACAAATCATTTAGTAAGCAGAAATCCGAAACGTACCTTAACATATTAAGTTAGAGGAAGATGCGACAGAACTGATGCTTGAAGAATGCACTTCCAGCAGCCATGATAAACAGTTGGCGATTAAAGTTTTCTATGCACAATTTGATTTGACGAAAGTCATGAGACCTACTACTCTCTATCCAATCACGTTGATTGATAAAAATATAATAAAAATAAGCATGTAACGACCACAAATGGAGGAAAATAGCGGAGTAAAAGTACCGATACATCACTTAAAATGTACTCAAGTAAAAGTACACAATTTTTTAACTACTCAAAGTACAATTACTGATAAAAACTACTTAATTACTGTAACGTGAGTATTTGTAATTCGTTACTTCACACCCCTGTGCACAGATCTATTTCGATATATATCAAATGTTCTGTCCTTCTCTGAAAACATAACTGACTGTATTTACATCAATGTCATATAAAAGTATATGCAAGTGCATTTAACCGCAGCCCCGATCGAGCTTCAGGACAACAAACACAAAGCTCACGTGAAAGTCTGTAAGTGCGCGAGTTTCGTGCATCTAATAGTACTGCATTCCATACTGCATAAATTAATCAATGCATATCTAAAGTAAAACACGGCGGGTGGAAGCACACACTGTCAAGCAATGTGCCCGTGTCTCACAGTGCAAATTCTGTGCAATGAAGCCCGCTGCGTCTCTAGCGCGCAAACGTGCCATTTGCAGAAAAAAAAACAAGCTCAGAATCGATTCTGAAATATTCAGAATCAATTCAGAATAGTTGAAGAGAGATTCGCGATGCACCGGTTTTTTTTTCTCCCACCCCTAGGATGTACGTCATGGATTGCGTGGCATGAGTGCCCAGTACTGGCGGAACCCTTGGAATGGGCTGAATTGGAACGTCCTAAGTCCTTTATCACTTTAGAATTAGCTATGGAGCTGTTTTATTGTTTACATTTTTCCCCTTACGAATTTCTTTGGTGCAGCATTCTATATGTATATAGGTATCCTTGGGCTGTTATAAATGTTAAAAGATCTGTAATTCTATAAACAAATGATATATTATAGAGTTGTTTGGGTGGGGATAAATTAAACCTGATCTGCGATGACGTCATAATCGTGTTGCATGGTGGTCTACAGAGCGGCCTGAAGTGTGCATATGAAGCTGACTTGCTCCTTCGGTCAAAATCGAGGGTTCGAGGGTCTGTCCATATAAACTTCCCTCATCCACTTCAAAATGGTAGTGGGGATTCCCCCCGAGGGGAAGTGCTTAGGGAAGTCCGCGAGTGTGTGTCAAAACATAGAGTGGAACGCAGCCGTAGAATCGGTAGGCGGGGCTAAACAGGCAGCGATGTAGAAGCAGGCATTGATCATCTTCTGCGGAGGCAGTGCTTATCCACACTATTACATCATAGAGTAGAACATTCCACGAGCTGTCGTTTTGGCAGAATGGCTTCAATATAAGAGAAAGTTTTTAATTCTGAAACTTACAGGATGTTTTTATAGTACACTGACCTCTTATGTGTCTTATATTTTGGTTTCTCAGTTCATGACCCCTTTAATAGAAGAAAATACATTTGTGAATATTTAGCTTACAAGTAGGTTATTTTGCTTCTTAAAAATTGTGTTTCTTTGATGAACTGTAGAGATGTGTGTAATGTCGATATTTCGTTCTTGATGTGAATGTGTGTCTCAGTGTGTGAAGGCGCTGCTGTACTTTGACCTGCACTCCTGTCGACTGAACGTTCAGAACGATAAGGGAGACACGCCGCTGCACATCGCCGCTCGCTGGGGTTACGAGGGCATCATGGAGGTGCTCCTGGAGAACGGAGCATCAACCCTCATCCACAACAAAGCCAAGGAGACTCCATTACACTGTGCCCTCAACTCCAAGGTTAGAGTTCGTGGCTTTAACACACCTACAATCGTGGAGCAAACGGTTCTTTCACTGTGTCAGCAGGAAGTCATTTGTGAGTGTTGTATTATCTGTGCTATAGATTCTGTCATTGTTGGAGCGCAGACACAATGGCTCCAGTAAAAGGGAAAGTGGATTTGAGGTGAGTTCAAATATCCTTTCAGTTAGATTCCCTTTTTTTTTTTTGTCTGCCAAACCCCTTCACACTTGGCGTCTTTTTTGACAAGAAAAAGTTGACAAGTGCTTTTTTAGTAAAATAAAAAGCTGGTAGCGTTTTGGTTACAAATAGCAGCCGAGGGCGTCTTTTGTTGCTATAACAACAGCTGCAAAAGTAGCCTAGCGCTATATGCTGCAGAAATGTTGAGAAAGAGTAAAAAGTTGGCTCTTGCGTTGCCTTTTGAAGTTAACGGGGAGGAGAATGTCGGTTCACAACAATGTTTGTGGGTGCGCGACATTATACGGGGAAGGAAACTGTATGGTGCTTACAACAATTTAGTTCAGGAGCTCCGGTTGAATGATGCACGGTTTGTGGCATATTTTAGACTTAAGGTAGATACAGTTTTGTGCTAGTACGAACTAATCTACCGTAGGGATGGGCGATATCTTATCGTTTGCGATATACCGGTAAACATTCTCCACACGATAAGAATTCGTCTTCCCGTGATAATAACGATAAAGTCTAGTTGTTGACATATTTCTGTGTGCGACTGTGTGGATTGACGTGAAGGAAGGCGGACGTGAAATTGAGCAGCTCCTTCTACAATCTGGAGCAGGTTTGGATAGGGCTGTACAGTGCGACAAAAATCGGTCTGAGCCTTGAGTAAATGTACTACAGTAGCACGTGTGCAACACAGTTTTACATGTGTACGAGTCGTTTACAGACCTGTTGTCCAACAAAGATATTTTAACTTATTGACATGCTTTTTCTCCATATTAACTTCATAACATATTCGAGTGTTTGAAATAACTTATTTTTGTGATCAGACGTGATTTCGTATCACAGAATAAGGCAGAAATCATACTATTTTATAGCATTATATACAGTGATAAAGGCTATGTCGATTAGCATTGCATTATAAATATACTTTATCCTTATTAAAAATACCCAAGATTGCTTGACGAACACAGATACCATATATTTTGTGCAATCGCATGTTTATTGTCTTCAGGTTTCCTCAGTTAAAATTTCTCTATCTGCGTTTTATTCAGCTACAGCGATCGTTGGATGCTTCTTCCTGGAGCATTACTTCTACTATGCATTAGTGGTGGGTCGTTCTTGAACAATTCGTTCATTTTGAACGAATCTTTAATGTGACTCGGGAAGAACGAGTCGTCTCGGGGAGTGATTCGTTCAGTCACGCATGCGCAACATCCTATAGGCTCTGTACTGGAATTAGTCAAGTAGTTCACCTGTTTCGAGTCTTCGTTTTTTTCCGAGTCGTTTGTTCATCACGTGACAGCCCCATAAGCTTTAACCAATGCCGTCTGAGCCGGAAAGAGAATTGATTAGTTCATCTCTCGAGTCTTCGGGTTTGAGTCGTTCATTCTTCACGTGACAGCCTCATACGCCCAAACCCGAAGACTTGTCAGATAAGAGGTGAGGTGAGCTAATCATAGACTGAAGACTCAGGTAAACAATAAATTCATCTTTTCTGTTTCTTATAGCAGTTTTGTATTGTTTGTAGTGTGATCAACGTTTGCGTAAGTAGTAGACATATTAGGGAAGTAACACGTAACATTTTAATTGTATTTTGCTAAAATGAACGAAATGACTCGAAAAAAGATTTGTTCATTTTGCTGAACGAGACTCAAAGGTCCGAGTCGGTAAAATGATCCGAACTTCCCATCACTACTACGCATATGTGGAGTTTCTGCGCAAGGGCGCCCTCCGACTTCCAGTATGAATTAAACAGTCATTACATTACGTGTGTACTCAGTAATGCTCACAACACCCTATTTTGGGTAAAAATAGGAAAGATAATACTTTTCTCTAAAGAAACAGGATTCCCTAAATTATCGTCATTGATATCGTTATAGCAATAAATATCAGAAATTATCGTGATATATTTTTAAGCCCATATCGCCCATCCCTAATCTGCCGGCTATCTTTTCCGTTTTTCTTGTTGTTTTTGTTGTTATGGAAAGGACTCGCCACTCGCTTGCCATTGGTCAGCTGTCAAAAGGGCGTTTTTTCCCCAGAAAAGTTGAACTTTTTTTCAACTTGAAAAGACGTTCTGAGCTGCAGAAAAAGACGCCGGCGGTGGCGTTTTAAAAAGCGCCCAGGACTTTTTTGAAAACACGGTTTACTCCGTAGGATTATAATGTAAAACAGACGCTGGCAGCTTCAAAAAAGACGGCAAGTGTGAACATATCCTAAGACGTAATATATTCACTTAAAGTATATGTTTTGCCACTCATTCATGTCTCAACCGTTGAACCCATTCTGACAAGTTGCGAAACGTCTTGAGCAACAGAAAAGACAAATAACTGTATTGGATGATTTTGTGCTGACCTGGAGAATCTTTACAGAGAAGGTATTTTAGCAGCAGACCTTTTGATAGACTGCAGTCTCCATTTCTGCTTTCAGTCTCCGAGTCGCTCTCCTCAGCCGTCTGACTGCAGCAGCAGGCGTTCATCTATGTCCAGCATGTCTTCACTCAGTGTTGAGGCCACACCGCCGGAGACCGAACGCACTCGACACAAAGAGGTACAGCACCACCATCTGGAGGACAGGTCATAGCGTTACACTTCTCCTGTTACAAGACCAGATGAGATCAAATAAGCCCTTATTGAGCGAAATTAAGCACCACAAATGACTGCAGATGCAAAGACAAAAATGTCATCTCAAAATCTTATGTTTTATGTTTTAACTCTTATTATAAAAATCAAGACAGAAACATATCACTGATGTAAATTCCAATTATAGTGTAAAAAATCAATACATGATCATTACAATTTATTTTATGCTACAGGTTACAATACTAATATTTATGTCTTAAATTTTTCAAGCATTCAAACCCTCAAGCTTTGCTCAGAGGGAAATTCAGCACCAAAAATGACTGAAAATTTAAGTTAAAATTGCCATTTTATCATCATATAATCACTTAACAATTAATGTGCCTGGAGAAAATTGTTGTAATTTTTACTTGCAGACACCCAGCTACGTTATATTTTCTCTGTCCTGTGTTTGGTGAACAGGTGGAGAAGTTGTTGAGAGCCGTGGCTGATGGAGATGTGCAGATGGTGAGCTCATTCCGGGTCACATAAACCTTGTTAAAGAGGATTCTGTCTTGCTTTAATCTTGGTTTAATAATAATAATAATAATAACAACAACACAGAATGACAGTAATTGTGTGTGTGTGTGTGTGTGTGTGTGTGTGTGTTTTAGGTGTGTTATCTTTTGGATTGGCTGGATGAGGAGCCGGAGGAAGAGGAAGATTCAGTGCCAGTTAAGACAGAGTTGTGCCATCCTCTGTGTCAGTGCCCCAGCTGTGAACCTGCACAGAAGGTCTGAACACACTCATTTAACACTTTTATACATTTTATGCAAATTAATAATTATGAATAAATAATAAATCAAAACAATAGCCTTCAGGTATTTTTTTATTATTATTACATTATATTATTACATTACTTATTATTAAATTAATAAAATGTTGAACAAATAAATCCTAGCTGTTTTTTTACACACTAAATAAAGTTCTCAACAAAATTAATGAATTAGAATTTTGAATATTTGTCTAATTTAAAATAAAAATGCACATTCAAATGCAAAAATTTTGCAACACGATGTATGTGTCGTTGCATTTGAATGCTTTTGTTAGTCTATCCAGTTGAACTCACTAGATGCAGCCCTGCTGCGCTGTTCATTCAAAATATTGCGGAAAATGAGAACATCAATGCGGAGATGATGTTGTTTACGGCCAAACTGAAACCAAGCATATTTTCTAGAAGGGCATCTATCAGCATTGCACTCTTGTCTCGCAAGAGAAAGCCATGTAAAATTAAAAAACATTTGTCGTTGTTGTTGTTGTTTTACCCCATCTCACTGCATCACATGTTTTTAAATAAAAAAAAAGTGCTCTGTGATTGGTTTTCGGTCCTTTGTATTAAACCATGCATACATACAGGTGCATCTCAATAAATTAGAATGTCATGGAAAAGTTCATTTATTTCAGTAATTCAACTCAAATTGTGAAACTCGTGTATTAAATAAATTCAATGCACACAGACTGAAGTAGTTTAAGTCTTTGGTTCTTTTAATTGTGATGATTTTGGCTCACATTTAACAAAAACCCACCAATTCACTATCTCAACAAATTAGAATACTTCATAAGACCAATAAAAAAACATTTTTAGTGAATTGTTGGCCTTCTGTAAAGTATGTTCATTTACTGTACATGTACTCAATACTTGGTTGGGCCTCCTTTTGCATGAATTACTGCATCAGTGCGGCGTGGCATGGAGACAATCAGCCTGTGGCACTGCTGAGGTGGTATGGAAGCCCAGGTTGCTTTGATAGCGGCCTTCAGGTCATCTGCATTGTTGGATCTGGTGTTTCTCATCTTCCTCTTGACAATACCCCATAGATTCTCTATGGGGTTCAGGTCAGGCGAGTTTGCAGGCCAGTCAAGCACACCAACACCATGGTTATTGAACCAGCTTTTGGGCTGTGGAGAAGAAGAACTGGACTGTTGCTCAGTGGACCAAAGTCCTCTTTTCAGATGAAAGTAAATTTTGCATTTCATTTGGAGATCAAGGTCCCAGAGTCTGGAGGTGCACCTGTACATGATGCTGTTTTGTTTTTAATTGTTTAAGCAACTTAAGTAATTATATTTGGTTTATAAACATTATTTAAACATGGCCCTTTTTTCAAAGATAGTCGTGTTATTTTATTGCTTTGAATAAACGTTAGTAATATTTTAACCAGTGCGCCCTCTTGTGGCCTCAGGAGAGAAGCCAAAAGTCCCCCCCCCCAATTTAAATGATGCCTTTTAAATTTGAATATAATTTGAATACTGATAATATTTACGTACAACATTTGAATTTAGTTTTTCAGCCATTTTGACAGCCCTAGCGCCCAGGCAGTCAGTTTCTGATATAATCTACAAAAGTAGGTTCATATGAATTTAGAAGCATTTTGTGGTAACTGTGAGTCTGTGTGTGTTCAGAAAGCAGCCCACCTGCAGCCGGACGGTGTGGGTGTGAACAGCAGTGCTGACGGCTTCATTCCGCTCCATGTGGCGGCGCTGCACGGACACACAGCTCTAGTGTCTCTCTTCACCCGCCACGGTGCCAACATCAACGCCCGCAACAATCAGAGCGCCACCCCGCTTCACCTGGCCTGCCAGAACAGCCAGATACAGGTGCGCAAATCCTGACCAATCACAGACCACCTCTCATAACAACAATACTGCTTTGAAACCAGTGTTTAAGCACTAGCTTTTTAATATCTAATAACTCATTGTGCACATTCATTTATATATGCTCACTTCAGTTAAAAAGTTTGGGGTCTAAAGACTAAAGCCCCGTTCACACCAAGAACGATAACGATATAGTTCTAAAAATCGTTCTCAATATTAAAGAATAGCATAGTTCACACCACATCTATAACGATAAGGATACAGAGGAACGATATCTTTGTGATCACTTTCAAAACGATTTTTTTCCAGCTGATGAACGATAAAACACTGACAGCCAATCAGAATCCATCCTGCTGTAACGAGCTCAAGAATTTAAAGCGGCAGACGCATGTGCGCTTAGAATAAACAGACGATATTGTTCGCTGGTGTGGACGCTAATATCGTTATCTTTATAGTTATCTTTATAGTTATCGTTCTTGGTGTGAACGGGGCTTAAGACTTTATCCAGGGTCACACCCCTAGAGTCTACGAGCGTGATATAGCTCATAATTGTTCAAGTGTATGATATAGCTTTCATTCTTCAGGTCAATCATGTATTCATAAAATAAAATCAATTTGAGTAAGGAAAGAGATAACTTTGCCATAGTATCCTTTTAAATGTTAAAGTGGCCACAGTCATTGCATGCTTTGCTTGTGCGGCACTTTATTTGTACCATTTTTTT